CTACATCACCTGCTGACTCTATTGACTAAATGTTTTCAATCAAACAACCCTGGAGCCTGTTTATCTCTGTGTTCTATTATGGGAGATAATAACTTTCCTATTGGTTAATTGGGTTTTAGTCAAGTTTATACTGGTTATAGCCAGAAACATCCTGAGATAAGTAGCAAGTATGGACTTAAACAGACAATTCCCAATACCAAATAAAATACAAATAAGTAGTAATTTTAGTACATTGACCAGCTTATGCTTTCCTGAAGTGATTCCTGGGGTCAGCAGGTGGCATAGTGGTTAGAATGCTGGATTACCATATGTCCAACCACAGTGTGAGTTCTGGACCTGGCAACTTGTTTTGTCACTTTTCCTCTCTCTCTGGTCAAATTAATAATAATAATAATAATAATAATAATAAAGTTAAATAAAATAATTCTAAAAAAAATTATTCCTGAAAGAGAAGAAAAATCCTAATACTGAATTAGAGAAATGAGGTAAGTAACATCAAGAAAAAAATACAGATTGAATAAAGGTACAGAGGTACAAACGTGTGTAATGATTTCATAAGAAGTTAATTAATGTAAGAATCTGACTAAAGTAAATGGCTTATACAGGAAAATAAACTAGAAAGGTAAGTAAGGTCACAATATAGACAATCTTCAGTAGTTTTTCTCCAGTTTTTTTTTTTTAAATACGTATAATTTGGTTTCAACTTTATCAAAGATGTTTTCTTTCTTAGGCTACTTACTGCTCATGTGTACATGGCTACTTTTTATTTTTTAACCTTTCAATATATCTTAAATATTTTCATTTAAAACCAGTTATCTAATTCCAATATAAGGCATTATTTTGGCATTATTATTTCCACTGATAATTTTCCAAGAAAGACTATTTTAATTGAAATGAACTTTTACACTCTAAAATTAAACCATTTTACTAGTTTAAAAAAAACCCTCTCCATTCAAAATAAAGTGTGAATTATGTGGAATTTTAATACCTCAGAAATGTAAATATCAGCTTGTTTTAGTAACTCTCCAATAATTAGAACATTTGAAGTAGTGCCATCTCCTGTGATGTCATCCTGGGCTGTTGCCACTTTTGCTATCAGGGAAGCTGTTGGATGTTGAATTTGCTGGAAAAGGTAAGCAACAGATTAAAAAAGAGAGGTGATGAGATAAAGAAACAGGCAAACAGGTGCCATGGAGGTTAAAGTGGCTGGGACTCAAATGGCTGACTCAAATGGCTGACTCAAATGGCTGGGAGCTTAAGAATCATACCAGGAGGCAACCAGAAGATGGCATAATGGTTACATCACTGGACTCCATAGTCAACCACGATTTGAGTCTCGGACCCAGTAGCTTAAATTTGCACCAGTTGCGTGCCCGAGATCCGGAGAAGAAGCATGCCCAAGATCTCGAGAGGAGAATGGAGGAGAAGGGATGGCAGCATGGCCACCTTCCCTGGGAGGTGCTTTCTCATTTTCTGTCTCTCTGTCTTTCTGGCGAACTCACATACCCTATAGCAAAAATGTCTCAAAAATAAAGGAAAAAAATAGACCACCAAAACCAAGATAACCTAAAGGTCAATACTAAAATTAAATGAATCATACTTCATTCTATAAGTGTACAAGTTTTATTTTATCTATATTGTCAAGTCCAAAATTTAAAAATTGAGACCTAATGACATTTGAACATTTTATATACATATTTGCCTCAGAGTGTATGTCATTTCCAAAACAAGGCTAAATTCTTCACTCTCAAAGATAACATTTATTAAAATTGCGAAGAATTATTTTCTCAGTCTTACAAAGACTATAATACAGTGTCTTTAAAAGATGGTGAGACCAGCAGATGGCATAACAGTTATGTTGCTGGACTCCCATATGGCCTACCGCAATTCAGACCTAAGTCCCAGACCTAATGGCTTCAAATTAACGCTGGTTGCATGTGCATGAGTGCCCATGACCCCAGGAAGAGAACAGAGTAGCGGGGAATGCAGCCATGTCCCTAGGGGATGATTTCTTGCTTTCTGTCTCTCTATCTCTATCTCTCCAGCAAGCACATGCACCCTACAGAAAAAACTCTCTCCAGAGCCAGAAGGTGGCATAGTGGTTAAAGGTACTGGATTCCCACATGGCCAACCACAGTTCAAGTCCTGGAGGTTTGCTTTCTCACTTTCTCTTTCTCCCTCTCTATCTCTGGTCAAATGTAAAAAATAATAACAAATGTAATTAAATAAACAAATAATTATTTTTAAAAAGACTCTACATAAAAAATGTTATTAATTTTAAGTATCCCTAAGCTATTATTTGTGCTATACAAATATTTTTAAGTAGACAAACACATTTTTAAAGCATTATTTAATCTTATTTATTATTTTTTAAATATTTTGCTACAGGGGCTGGAAGGTGGCATGGTGGTTAAAGGTGCTGGACTCCCATGTGGCTGACCATGGTTCGAGTCCCAGACCTGGCAGCTTGCTTTTTCACTTTCCCTCCCTCTCTGTCTCTCACTCTGTCCAGAGCACACTCACCAGAGAGAGAGTGAGAGAAAGAGAGAAAGTGAGAGAGAAACCAAACCGCGAGGTCTGGAACTCCAATTGCGGTCAGTCATGTGGGAGTCATGTGCCCAAGTACCTAAATCACCATGTCACCCACTAGCCCCGCAAAAGAAAAACGTTTTTATAGTAATTTCATCCAAGAAGACTGTAGTATTTAGTGATGGTCTTGGCCTAAAGATATATAAGTTGTACTATGTTCTTCGTTAAGGATTAGTAAAATTTATTAAAGTCAGCAGCAACAGCTCACCATCTCATGGAGCAGCACATTGCCATCTTTAGTGAGTTTGATGTCACCTGCACCAGAAACAAGCCTGTTCAAAGAAGAGTAATGCCATTAACTTCACATGGTAAGCAACAAGCAAGAGACTCCCAGTGCTTGACACTCAACTATCCTTACTACAGAGGACTGGGCTTGAAAAAGTTCCATGGTACCATGGGGAGACACCATGGTAATTACCACCATTTGCAGCTCAAATAGTGTGCTGCCAAATGAATTTCCATTCCCGAATCATTTCTCCCCAGATGGACTGCTATGGTGATTTCATTCCAAATGGAGCATTTACTACTTTAAAGGGCAATTGATGAGATTGGAACAGTGGTTTGGTCAAGGAAGAGTACTTAAAAGCTACAGAGCAGAAATTTGCAAATTTTCTGTAGATTTTTCATTTTGGCCAACAATATCATTCATTCAATCACTCAGCTTAGTTCCCCTCATCCCCTCACATTTATTAGATCACCAAACTGTCAGTTCTACCTATCTCCTGGATCTCACCCTTGCCTCCATTTCCACTGTCGTAATCATCTCCACCCTGGACTACTCAGACAGCATCTCAGTATATCAAGATTTGAATCTATCCTTCACACTGTATCTTTCTAAAAGACGTGACTCAGTTCTCTGATCAAAAATCCTTTAATGACTTTCAGGTTCTCCATCACCTTCAAAGTAAATTCAAACTAATTTAGCAATGTCATCCTTAACCTTTCCCAATCTGGTTTATGTCTGTCTTCACTGACTTATCTACCGCCTATCCACAAGCAAATCTTTTGCTTCCCTTAATACATCATGTGCTGGTTTTGTTTCTTTTGGACTTACACCACTGTGTTTTCTTATTCCTGAGGTTACTTTCCCAAGAAAGCCTTTACTCTTTTCTCCAGCTGACAAACTTATTCTCTCAAGGCTGATCAAACATCATCTTTTGAGAGGCTTTTCCTTCAGCCATCAGTAATCAGTCCCTATCTTCAGTGTAATCATAAGTGTATGTATATATATATATATATATATATATATATATATAGCAAATCTTTTGCTTCCCTTAATACATCATGTGCTGGTTTTGTTTCTTTTGGACTTACACCACTGTGTTTTCTTATTCCTGAGGTTACTTTCCCAAGAAAGCCTTTACTCTTTTCTCCAGCTGACAAACTTATTCTCTCAAGGCTGATCAAACATCATCTTTTGAGAGGCTTTTCCTTCAGCCATCAGTAATCAGTCCCTATCTTCAGTGTAATCATAAGTGTATGTATATATATATATATATATATATATAATTAGCATAGGTATCCTATCTCCTTAAGAACATAAGCTATATCTTGGTCATTCCTGTTCCCAGCATCTTCTAATACTAAGTGCCCTCTTCACCATTATTTTTCATTTATTTTGATCATTTCTAGGGGGATATATCTCTCCTCTTATACCTTTTTACCCTCACCAGTTTTTTCCCTCACTCTTGCCTAAAGAAAATGGTCTCGAATATATGCCGGAAGGATGAATAAATATGAGCAAAGAATATTCAAATAACTTGTCTAAGTGCAGCTAGGTTACAGAACTTGGACTTGAACCCATGCCGCCTGGACTCCAAACCTCATGTTCTTTCACCACACTGCCACACAGAAAACTATGAGATTCATAGACAAAGGGCAGCTGGTCTTAAGAGCAGAAGAGTTCGATGTTTTAACGTTTCCAATGAGACACTAAACGAACTAACTGCATGGGAATCTTAACGAAAAGGGAAGGGGCCTTTTTCTGGGAAGGCATTTCTTCTCCTTCCTCACTTAGGGATGTACTCAGGCAGGAATGAGAATGAGGAAAAATGGGCACACAGTGGGTCCACGCCGTCCCGATCTCTTGGTGGAACGCCTGCCTCAGAGGGCGCCCCGACACCTAACAAACGCCCAGCGCCCTAACCGCCGCTCACATTTTCATGGTGCCCTTGGGCCCTAGGTTGGTCCGCAGCACATCTTGCAGCCCTCGAGCGGCGCAAATATTGACGGCCAAAGCCGCCTGGGCCCGCTGCACCTCAGCTTTGGAGTTTACGGCTTTTATTGCAGCCATAACCTGACCGTTGAAGGCAAGAACGGCCCAACTGGCTATCCTGACTCTGGCGCCACGCCCCACTGTCCCGACCCTCGGCCAATTACCGCTGTCGCCGGACGTGACGTCATCATGCCTCGCCGGGACGGAAGCCAGAATCGCCTTGGGTCTGGTCGCAAAGATGGCGTCCTCCGCCTCCTCTCGGACTCCGGCGGGCAAGCGAGTGGTAAACCAGGACGAACTGCGGCGGCTGATGAAGGAGAAGCAGCGCCAGAGCACCAACCGGAAGCGGATCGAATCTCCATTCGCTAAGTACAACCGTTTGGGGCAGCTGAGTTGCGCCCTGTGCAACACTCCGGTTAAGAGCGAGCTCCTGTGGCAGACTCACGTCCTCGGGAAGCAGCACCGAGAGAAAGTGGCCCAGCTGAAAGGCACGAAGGGAGCCACCCAGGGTCCGTCGGAGAGCGCAGTGTGTCAGTCCGCGAAGAGGAAGGCGCCGGACGCCGGCGGCCAAGATGCCAAGAGAGGAAAGGCCTCGCCGGTGCCTCAGCCCTCCACATCGGCGTTGCCCACCCACTTCGACAGAACTGGGAGGGAGTCCAGTAGAGCGACCCCCGGTAAGCCTTTGGGACTCGGTTTGCTCCCTGATTATGAAGATGAGGAAGAAGACGAGGAGGAAGAGCAGGGAGGAGGAGGAGAAGGAAAAAGGGACGCCAGCAAGCAGCTGCCGGACGCACAGGGCAAGGAACACACTCTTCCCTCGCGGGAGGCGACAAGTAGCGTGCTGCCAGACGATTTCTTTGCTACAAATCCTCCCAAGGCCCCCTTAGTCCCTCATTCCGGGTCAATTGAGAAGGCAGAAATACATGAGAAAGTGGTGGAAAGGAGAGAAAACACTGCGGAAGCATTACCGGAAGGCTTTTTTGATGACCCTGAGGTAGATGCAAGGGTACGAAAGGTTGATGCCCCGAAGGATCAGATGGACAAAGAGTGGGACGAATTTCAAAAAGCCATGAGGCAGGTCAACACGATTTCTGAAGCCATAGTTGCTGAAGAGGATGAAGAGGGACGGTTGGACCGCCAGATTGGGGAGATTGATGAGCAGATAGAATGTTACCGTAGAGTGGAAAACCTGCGGAATCGCCAAGATGAAATAAAAAATAAGCTTAAGGAGGTTCTAACCATAAAAGAATTACAGAAAAAGGAAGAGGAAAATGTTGACAGTGATGACGAGGGAGAACTACAGGACTTGTTGTCTCAGGATTGGAGGGTGAAAGGGGCTTTGTTATAAAGCGTTAAGGTTCAAGATTTCTAACAGCCTGAACTTTGTGTGAAAAGTGCACTCTCTCAGTATATGGGTTACCGCTAGAGATTCGGATACCTAATTGAGTTGTTGAGATAAAACGAGCCAGTGAGTGACAGCACTTTGGGAAATTCTGGGTTGTTGAGATAGACCGAGCCAGTGAGTGACAGCACTTTGGGAAATTTGTATAAAATATTTTTTGAGGTAAAGCTGTTTTTGAAATTTATAAGTATTATATACCAGACTGCCAACTTTTTCACGTGAGCAGGTTTAACTATAATTTTCAGTTGTAAAATCTGCAAGTTATAAATATTGTACATAGTTAAATATATGTTTACATAGTAATTCTGGTTTTGAAATTTATCTATTAAGTCAAACCAACAGACAAAGTATTAGATGAATACTACATGTGCTATTTGGAATGTGTTTGTCTTTTTCTGACCCTGACTCAAACTCAGAAGGTCTTTTTATTATTATTATTACTATTATTGTTTTCTGTTTAGAACACTGCTAAAAACATAAGACGGAAACATATAAGCACTCTATGTTAATGTGTTCTCTGAGTACTCTATTTTTGAAGCATGCTTTAGGAGCATATCAAGAAAAAATATATACCAAACACTATCAGCCCCCTTACACCAAACCTTCTCTTGACTAGACCAGTGATTGTCAGGTGCCAATTACACATGAGAATCACCTATGAAGCATTAAAAAATTTTCAGGGTGTGACCAGCAGATGGCATAATGATTATGTCGATGGACTCCCACATAGTTGACCACACTTTGAGTCCTGGACCTGGTGGCTTAAAACTCACACAAGGCGCATGTGCATCCATGCCCAAAATCCCGAGAGGAGAATGGAAGTGAAGGAATTGTGAAGTGGCCATCCCCTCAGGGGGTGAGTTCTCACTTTCTACCTGTCTCTTTCTCTCTGGCAAGTGCACACACACACTCTATAGCAAAAATCTTAAAAAACAAAACAAAACAAAAACTTCAGGGGACTGAGCCCTATCCTTAGAGACTCAGCAAATCTGAAGTGGGGCCCAGGCATCTGTATGATTTTTGAAGATTCCTAGGTCATCCTAATATTTACCAAATTGTAGAGCAATTACCCTAAATTCAAAACTTACTTGTAATTTCTTCGTTTTTCCTTTTTGTTTAAGTAACACATTCCATTAATTTATTGTTTCTCAAATGAAAGAATTACATTTTTCTCACCTAGTTTTTGTTTTTATTTTTAATTAGGTTTTTGCCAGAGACAGAAAGTGATAAATCACCTACCAGGGAAGGTGGCCACACTGTAGTCCCTTCTCCAGTATCCTCTTGGGATTTTGGGCATGCATGCACACATACTTGGTATGATTTTCAAGCCACAGGGTCTGGGACTTAAACTGCATCTGGTCATGTGGTAGTCTAGCACTTTCACCACTATGGCATCTGTTGGTCCTCTCACCTTGTCATAAATTTTGTTATGTTGTGGTGATTAGGGTTCAGGGTTTCAGGCTCTCTAGAAAGTATACGTGCTTTTTCTTCCAGCAGTAATAATTGGTTTGCTGGTCATTGACAGTTTAAAACACTGCTCCCTTTGGAAATTGAGTTAAATAGAAAAAGGGATTTAGTGTTCTGGAGACAGAAATGCTTATAGAATATTTAAATATAACTAAGCAGTTATAATACAGCTAAGATTTATATAGTTCTTAGTATAAGACAGGCAGAGTTCCAAGTGCTTTAAATATATTAAATCAGTCTCGTTTCACTAAAGCATAAGTTTTATGGGTAGGAATATCAAAAGATAATGTTTAAGAAGACTTAGAAAAGAATTCTTAAGGCAGGCAATACAGGGAAAAGAAATAAGGATTTGAGCAAAAAATGACATCTACAAAGAAATAGTGATTATTTCTAGTAGTGTATAGAATAAAATGAACGTAGGGAGGGGTGTTAGAAACTACATTTACAAAAGCACAGTTGACTGAGACTTTGGTAGATATGGATTGGGATAAAATTAACAGAACTGGGGCCAGCCAGTGGTGTAATGGTTAAGATAGTTGGATTCCACATGGCCAACTATATGGTTCAAGCCCCAGACCCAGCAGCTTGAAAAACATACCAGGTGCGTGTGTGTGCATGCTCAAAATTCTGAAAGTAGGGAGAAAGAGAGAATAGATTGTGGTGTGACCATCCCCAACGGGGGTGCTTCCTCCATTTGTCTCTAGCAAGTGCATGTGCAAATTAACAACCAAAAAAAGCAAAATTAATAGAATTGAAAGAATTGTACAGGAAGTCTAACATTTAAATAACCAGAAGTAGAAGAAGTGCAAGACATATAGAAATGAGATTCAAGGTTTCAGTGTGGGTGCCTAAAAAAGTATCTAAAATCTGAGCAGTGTGCTACAATGTGCTACAAATTGTCCTACGTCTTTGGCACAAAGTTTGTGTTCCTGAACTGTCAGCCGAGCTGTGATAGGAACTTGATTTTGATGACATGAGAGCATGCCTGCATGTAGAAACCTACACTTACCCAGAAGGTTTCATCATACATCATATTATTCTAACATGCCAGAAAATACAAAGATGGGTTTCAGTGAAATGGTAGGCCCAGTTCTACCCTGGCCAATAATCTAGGGGAGTACTGTTCCCTTAACCACTAGGCCAGAGGCTGGCCTAATATAACAGGTGTCTAGGTAACACATGGCCAAGTGTACATTTTGAGTTCTGGACTTGATGACAGAAATCATACTAGGTGCTTGTTTGTGTATGCTCAAAATCCTAAGAGGAAAATGGAGAAGGGACTGTGGCATGGCCCTCCTTCCTGGGGGCGTGATTGCTCTTTCTGTCTCTGGCAATCACATGCGCCCTATGGGAAAAACCTTAGGAAAAAGGGCTGGATGGCTGCACAGTGGTAAAATGAGACATTCTGCAAGGCAGACCCTCATGGAAAGATTGTCTATGCAATTCCAGGGACCTCCCTGAGTGCCAGGCCCACACGTGACCATGATCTGTGCTAGCTAAAGCTGGGATGTTGGGGGTGGGGGTTGCAATGCCAAGGTACTATTGAGGATTCTCTCTTGCTCAGGATAAATAACACTCTGTTTTAAAAAAGAGGGACCAGCAGATGACATAATGATATGTTGCTAGACTCCCACATAGTCAAACACAGTTCAAGGCCTGGACCTGGCAGCTTAAAACTCATGCCTGACGCCTGTGTGTCAGTGCTCAAAATCCTGAGAGGAGAATAAAGGGATTATGGCATGGCCATCGTCCCTGGGGGTGATTTCTCACTTTCTGTCTCTGTCTCTCTGGTGACCACACATGCCCTATAGCAAAAATCTGTTAAAAAACAGGTAAAAAAGTAAAACAGGTAAAATTGGTTTTAATATATTTAATATATCTAAAATGCTGTTTCAATAAGTGATCAATATTCAAAGATTACTGATGAGGTGTTTTGTTTTTGTTTTTTGGTGCTACATTTTGAAATGGGTACTTTTTCTTTCTTTCTTTTCTGTAGAGGTTTTTGCTATAGGGCATGTGTGCTCACCAGAAAGACAGACAAAAAGCGAGAAATCCTCCCGGGGGGGATGGCTACACCACAATCCCTTCTCCATTCTCCTCTGGGGATCTTGGGCACACACACACACGCTCGGCATGAGTTTAAGCCACCGGGTCCAGGACTCAAAACTGGTCGACTACATGGGAGTCCAGCGACATAACCATTACGCTCACTGCTGATCCCTGAAGTCAGTACTTCTAATAACTCAAGTTTGGACTGGACACATTTCAAGTACTCACTAGCTATATATGACTGGTGGCTACCATAAAGGATAGCACAGATCTAAAGAGAGAGGTATCCACATGAACAAAATAAAACATGCCCAGGAGACAGTGAGTGGACCAATTTAATTCCAGCAGAGGGTTCCATCCTGGCAACAATGGGAGTTAAGATTGGGAAGGTAGATTATGAGCAATGTGGAGGGCATCAGTCGTCACACTCTAAGGAGTTTTTTTCTCCAAGTTAATTTATCATTGGTTGAGTCCTTAATTAGAACACAGATAAGCATGAGCTGAAGGAGTGCCAAGTATATGTGACTACTACTGTCAACCCCCACCAGGCTTTTAGGAGAACCAAAAGCCCTCAAATTCTGATCCTAGTGGCCCTGTATCCCAGAACATTAGAGATGGGACCCTGACCATAACCAGTGCTTATGAATCCTTGTTGAATTTGAGAAACAGCTAAAGAAGTTAGTGAATCCTTCCTGATCTTCCACATATTGGAGAGCAATCTCATACTCTTTTTGAGCTGAGTCAAATAAGTTTTGTCAGGCTGTCAGTAATCAGTGTTCTGAAAAAGGAAGAATTGGCCCCAGGAATTCCTTCCAGTCATTTCTCTTTCTAAAGAACCTAATTCAGGCAACATCACAATATTGAGTTATTATAAATGCTATAAAAGTATCCTCTTATTCCTTTCACTTAGCAATTTAAAAGTCCCCCAGGACCTGGTGGCTTAAGCTCACGCCGGCGCATGTGCGTGTATGCCCAAGATCCCGAGAGGAGAATGGAGAAGGGATTGCAGCGTGGCCATCCACCCTGGGGAGTGATTTCTCTCTTTTTGTTTCTCTCTTTCTCTCTTTTTGGCGCATGCACACGCCTTATAGCAAAAACCTCTCAAAAAAAAAAAAAAAAGTAAAAGTCCCCCTAACTTGGAAGAAAAAAAGAATGCAGATCCAACTAGTCTTCAGATGTACATTTATTTGTCCAATGCCTTAAAATTTACAGATGCTTTCTCACATCACTTAATGATGGAAATAATGACTGCTTTTTACAGAGAACAAAAGACACAAATTTAAGTTGCAGAAAAAATATAATTTAGACCTCAGCCTGTCATAGAAACAATCACTAGATTGGTGTGGAATAATGAAAAGAACAGGGAATTGGCAAGAGAAGACTTGGGCAGATAGCGTCTCTGAACTTATTTTGCTCCTCTATAAAATAAGGACATAAAATCCCTCACAGGGTGTGGTAAGTGAAACATGGACTCACTCTAATGAACATAGAATAGAAAGTCTTGATGCAAATAGTATTTCCTGTCTATGAAGCACGAATTGGCTAACCTCTTTGATGCTGTGCAGGGGG